GCCAATTTTTGTATTTATTTTTTGTAGAGACGGGTTTTGGCATGTTGCCCAGGCTGGTCTTGAACTCCTGAGCTCAGGCAGTTCGCCTGCCTCAGTCTCCCAAAGCACTGGGATTACAGGCATGAGCCAGCGTGCGCAGCCCCTTCTCTCTCTCTTTTTTTTTTTTTATAGTGGGATGGTATTCCCTGTAGGGATGAATCAGAGTTTTTGTTTGTTAGTTTTGTTTGTTTGTTTTTTTTTTTTTTTTGAGACAGAGTCTCACTCTGTCACCCAGGCTGCAGTGCGGTAGCACGATCTCGGCTCTCTGCAACGTCCACATCCTGGGTTCAAGCTATTTTCCTGCCTCAGTCTCCCGAGTAGCTGGGACTGCAGGTATGTGCCACCGCGCCTGGCTAATTTTTTGTGTTTTCTTTTTAGTAGAGACAAGGTTTCACCATGTTAGCCAGGATAGTGTCGATCTCCTGACCTTGTGATCGGCCCGCCTTGGCCTTCCAAAGTGCTGGGATTACAGGTGTGAGCCACTGCGCCTGGCCGAATCAGAGTTTCTTTAACAATAATTTACAGATAGAATTAGGTCATTGCCAACCATTTGCTATTATGCACAGCGCTGTGCAGAATATCTTTGCACATGTGTCCGTAAACATGTGTGACCACGTCTGTATGGTCCAGTACTAAAGGTACAAGTTTTGGGTGAAGTGTAAGTACCGTCTTAATGTGGATGTTGCCAAACTGCCATCTTCCACTCCCACCACAGTAAGAATCATGCATCTTAAATTATGAAGCACTCAATAGAGTATAGAGGTAAGATAGCCGACCACACGAACCCAGTACCTGTGTGTGACACACGTTAACCTCTCACCTCATCTGCCTCAGCTCTTCTCCCATTGTGTTTGTAAAGGACACAACCAAAATCCCCTTTATATGCCTTTCTATTTCATCTGCTTTCCTCCTTTTCCAGAGGCAACCACTCTCCAGCTGCCAGTGTGTACCTCTCCGGTCCCTGATTTTATA